CAACTAGGGAACATCATCAGTGCTAGAAGGGAGAGGGGTATGTGGAGGAGGAGGAGGACTGGGGGGTCCTTGGTGCTCTCTGAGCTGGGCTGTTTTCTTGCAGACATTTCATTACCTGACAACATCAGTGCTTGAAAGCTGGAAGGATATAAAACTCTGCATCAATTTCCCAAGGAACCCTAGAATTCTCCGGACCATAATCTGATAAACCCTGACATAAACCAAGTTAAAAAGCTAGATTTATTAAATTGTTTCTTTTTTCTTTTTTTTAGCCGAGTATCATGCACAAATCCAACCTCAGTATCTGATAAATATTATATTGCTTTGGTCAGTGGTCTTCAACCCCCAGCCCATTATTAACCTGTAGCCTATTCGGAATTGGGCCACATAAGTGGCTGGCTAGAGTGCACGTGCCAGCCCACTGCTTGCGCGGAGCTGCGCATACGTGGGCTGGCCCGCTACTCGCACAAGGGCTGCATGTTTGCATGTGTGTGTGGACTGGCCTGCTGCTCACAAGGTCCAATTCCCTTCTCCCCCCATGCCCTCCCAGCCGGGCTGCCAAGCCGCAGAGATTGGAGACTGCTGGTTTAGGTGATCTAGATCAGGGGTCGCCAACCTTTTGGACCTCAGGGACCACCAAACTCATAATTTTAAATCCCACGGACCAGAGACCCTGGGAAAATCCCCCAAAAAAGTCTGCAGGAAAATCCCCCACCCCGTTTTCCTACCGATCGATCGTTCTTTATTTGGGATCGCAGCATACCGTCTCCAGCTCCATTCTCGGGGACGAGAGAGAGAGAGAGAGAGGAGAGAGACTTTTGGCTTCGTGCAATGAAAGCAGCAGGAGCCGCAGAAGTCTTTCTCTCCCCCAAACTCCGCCAGAAATGAGTCTTCACAGCCTCTTGGAGCAGGAGGCCTTGCAGGGTCCCAAAGACTCATTTCTGGCAGAGTTTGCAGGAGAGAAAGAAAGACTTCGGCTGCTTTCCTTGCATGCAGCCAAAAGCAGAAGAAAGAAGCGGAAAGAAGCAGCCCGGTGGCCAGGCCAGGCATGTGGGGCGAGTGGGACAAGTTCCCCCCCTCCGTGCTTTCCCCCCTCCCCTCACTACGTGTTGTTCGCAATGCAAGCGACGCAAGCCTTGTGTTCCCGCGGGCCATGTGGGCGGCGCAGCCTTTGTGTTCCCACGCAGCCTGGATTAATTGCTTTGGGGGGGACATTTCTCTGCGGACCACCAACATTTTCTTGCAGAGCACCAGTGGTCCCCGGCCCCACCGGTTGGCGACCCCTGATCTAAACTTTCTCAGGTACAAAGGTTTTGCAGCTTTCTTAAGTAACCACAACTCTGCATCGTCCAAGATCCAAATGTTCGGTTTGTTTCTTCCTTTCAGCACACGGAGGAAGATTTCAGAATTCGTTTGAAGGTCCGGACAGAACTGGATGAGCTTCGGGCCAGACTGCAGTGAGACAGGGCCGTGGGGGGCCGATGATGCTTTTCATCGATTCCCAGCCATTCCTTCCAGGGTTCCTCAGCCAGCATGGGTGGACTTCCAACTCCCCAAAATTCTCTCCAGCCAAACTACCTGGGTGGACTTCAACTCCCAGAATCCCCCATGAACTACCAAAATTTGAGGGGGCCAGGAGAAAAAAGAGCGCAAGCAAGCTTGGTTCTATCACACAGCTTTCCCATCCTATCCCCTAATCTGGCCGCTTGCACCTCCCGAAAGATGCTTTTAAAAAGTGATTTAAAAAAAAAAAAATAGAAATAAAAGCATGGAAAAGCCCAACGGGTAGCAACTCTTCCATTCACCACATGCCGCTTGGGTCTTTTTCGGGGGAAAACTTTAACGTTGCGGCATCTTGTGCCCTGAAAGTGATTATATCTGCCCAATTCTTGGTACGGCACAGACGCCGAATGATTCACCTTCCCTCGCGGCAAATTAGGCGAGATCATTTCTTGCAAAGCTCCTTTCCACGACCCTTGTCCATGAAAAGCAAGGCTGTTGGAAATGGGGCTGCTTTTATCGATGGGAATGAAATCAAATCCAATAAAATTTCATATTACTGTAAAATATGAAAATCATGCAAAGGCGGCTTGCTGGAAAATCTAGTGTAACAAAGAGGAAAGGACTAGGGGTGACATTAAATAGCACAGGGGTCTCCAACCTTGGCCACTTTAAGCCTGGAGGACTTCAACTCCCAGAATACCCCAGCCAGCAAAGCCTCCAGGCTTAAAGTTGCCAAGGTTGGAGACCCCTGTAATAGCAGCCTTCCAATATTTGGGAGGCTTCCGAGAGAGAGACTAAAACATGAAGAACGGCTTGATGATTTGGGTATGGCCAATCTGGAGAAAAGAAGGACTAGGGGGGACATGATAGCGGACTTCCAATATTTGAGGGGCTGCCCCAAAGAAGAGGGGGGGGGTCAAGCTATTCTCCAAAGCCCCTGAAGAGGCAGGACAAGAAGCAACGGATAAAAACTCATCAAGGAGGGAAGCAACCTAGAACAAAGAAGGAATTTTGTGACAGTCAGAACCGTTGATCAGTTTGCCTTCAGAAGCTCTGGGTGCCTCCAACGTTGGAGGCTTTTAAGAAAGAAAAAAATTGAAAAACCATTCGTCTGAAATGGTAGTGTTTCCTGCTTGAGCGGAGGGTTGGACTAGAAGACCTCCAAGGTCCCAACTCTGTTCATCATCATCATCATCTCCTTTTAATGACCCCATAATCCCTTGCGGGGTGGAGCCTGAGCAACTGAATAGAGCTGGGTCTTTCCTGGCCGGATGCCCTTCCTGTCGCCAAGGCAGAGTAATATTCAGCAGATAGATTCTCATTGTGGCTAGAGAGAAAAATACCTGCTTCTACCTAGGATTGAACCCACAGCCTTCTGATAGTGAGGCAAGAGCTCCACTCAAGGTCCCAACTCTGTGGTTATTGCAGGACAGTACTGCAGGCTACTTCTGCCTGCCTGCCGGCTGCCTGCAATTTGGCACTTCAGATCCCACCAGGCTCAAAGGTTGACTCAGCCTTCCGTCCTTTCGAGGTGGGTAAAATGAGGACCCAGATGGTGGGCAAGAGGATGACTCTGTAAATCGCTTAGAGAGGGCTGTGAAGCACTGGAAAGCAGTATATAAGTCTAAGTTAAATACCTGTGCCCCCCACCCCCATAAGTGAAAAACAGCAATGCTCGATCCTTGCTTTTTTCACCCCGAGATTTTTGCCCAGATTGGGAAAACATTGCCAATACTTCAAATGAACACCACCCACAAAGAAAAGAACACTCCATTTATCCTGGCAGGAGACATTCACATTTTGTGATGACCTAAAGGGGCGTGGCACAAAGGCAACAGTCAAAATAAGCAATAAGAGTCCTTTTATTATCTCCAACTTTGCCCTCAATGTCCAGGTGACCTTCGGCTGGAGAAAAACTCCCAGGAACAGCCTTTAATTGGAGGAAATTCAGCCCGAAAACATACAAACTGTTAACTAAAAATCCACACAAACCACGCTGCAGTAATTAACTGGACAGGGCAGGAGAAGGAATTGCAGGCTTGAAAGGTCAGCAAAACACAGTTGGGAAGACGCCAGATAAGCCTCGACAAAACAAGATAATACATGATTTGCTTCCCACCAGTTGCTGTGTGCAATCTCACCTTTTAAACGCTGCAGGTAATGAAGGGAATCAGGGCCCTTTCCTCCCCCATAAGCACACAACCCACATTGCTCTCTTCTCTGTTCCTCCCTGCGTGCCCTAGGATGAAGAGGGGGTGGGTTCTTCGTCTTAGTTCTCTCTCCCTTGTTCTACCTCTCCCCTGCCTTTCACCAGTTTCCTCCACAGCCAACGGAACCACGCTCCCGCTCCCTGTCAGCTGTTCGGCCTCCCCCTCCGAATCAGATTCTGACAAGGCACATTTTTCCTATTAAAAGCAAAAAAAAAGAACGCCACTCCATTTTTGTATTAAACGGGTCTGACAAGAATACACATCTTTTTGTCTACAAAATTTAGCTCTTTCCGAATTTATGAACCGGCAGCGGCTTCATCCAGCGCCAGCCCTGCTGGGTTTGGGTGGTTCTGAAGTGTTGGGAGTCCAGCAGGCCATTCATTCCCCTGCCTCCCTTTGGTCAGCTGGCAGCCTGGTGCAGCTTCTGCCTCCTCTTCCCCTCTTCCGCTCGCTGCTTCTGATGTTCCGCCATGCAGGACCGAAAACTCTGCACTTGCTCCTGGCACTTGCGCCAGTCCTGGTGTTCCGCCATGCACTCCATCACGGCGTAGTGGAAAGAGGCACAGCCGGTACGCTGGATCATCTGGTCCAAGGGGTCTTCCTCCTCCTCCTCCTCTTCCTCCCTCCTTTTTTGCGTCTTCTGGCTCCAGTTGTGGCCAGACATCCTGGCAGATCTGGGGAAAAGAGAACCAGATGCTTAACAAAAAAAATCCTTGTGGTATCCACACCAGTGTGAAGCTACTCAGGCCAAGTGAGACTGTAACCCCCTAACCCAATACTTAACTGTCCCAAAGGTGCTTTTTTTAATAAATAAAAAAAGACAACTGGACTTTCTGGATTTTTTTTCTTTTGAAGACGTTTCGCTTCTCATCCAAGAAGCTTCTTCAGCTCTGGATGGTGGGGAATGGAAGGATTTATATTCCTTGCAGATGGCTGGTCATTTGCATCCTTTTAGAGGGTCGTTGAGGCTACTTGGAGGTGAAGCACTCTGGAAGCACTTCTTGGATGAGAAGTGATGGACACCCTTGGAATGGCGTGGGGCAGGAATGGATTTCCTGCTGACTTCAACTCCCATAATTCCTCATCCAATATCTATAGCCTTTTTTTGACTACCTGTGGACTCCCACTCCCATAATTCCTCAGCCAGTAGCTATGTCGCCTTCGTGACCTGTGGACCAACTCCCAGAATTTTTCATCCAATATCTATGGCCTTTTTTAACTCTCTGTGGACTTCAACTCCCAGAATTCCTCAGCTATTAACTGTTGCCTTTATGACCTGTGGACTTCAACTCCCAGAATTCTTCATCCAATATCTATGGGGCCCTTTACTTACTACCTATGGACTACCCCTCCCATTAATTCCTCAGCCAGTAACCACGACTCCTTTATGACCTGTGGACTTCAACTCCCAGAATCCCTCAGCCAGTTATCTATGGCCTTTTCTACTCGCTTGTGGACTTCAACTCCCAGAATTCCTGAGCCGTCATGGCCGTCAACAAGCGAAGTCAATGGAGGAAAGCAGGAATTCTGGGAGTTGAAGTCCCAAGGTCACAAAGGGGGCCCTAGGTCCCCAAACTACCTCATTTTTTTTCCTTCTTAGGAGCCCCCTCCCCGCCCCCTCCCCCGGACAAGCTTACCTCGCAGGGTTGGGGGTGAGGAGGCGACTGGGCTCCGTCGGTCTCCCCACGGCCAGCCCTGCCAGGTAGGCCAAGCCGGGCCGTCCCGCCCCCCCTCCGAAACCCCGCCCACCTCCGCGAGCGCCTCCAACCGCCACCTCAGGCCTCCCTTGCAAGCGCCTCGCCGCCCGCCAAACTGCTGCCGTGGTGGGCGATGCCCGGGCCTTCCGGGGGAGGGTCCCCGGCCTACGGCTTCCGGGTCAGGGCTGAGGCGAAGATGGCGCCGGTGCTGCGGATCCAGAGCGACTGGGACCAGGTCTTGAGGTGGGGAGGCCACGCCCACGACGGCGCCGGCCACGCCCTTCGGCGTTGGCGGGGGTGCCTGGCGGGGAAGGGAGACCACCGGGAGATCCCCGAGGGAAAAATTGGAGTAGGGGTCTCTGAGGGGGGGCGGGCAACCTTTTAACTGCGTGGGCTTACCTTAGGGGGTCTTTGGGTCCACTAGTCTCAGCCTTCTGGGTGCGGGAGTCCAAGGCAGAGAAGACCCTGAGGCAATCAATCCAGCCCTCTCTTGGACTACAATTCCCATCCACCCAGGCCACAATGGGCTTTTAACTGCCTG